TCAGACATAAATACTGAGTTTCCATCACTAACATATCCATCAGTAGTCTCTGTATACCCACTTCTGGCTCGGTACAAACTGGTTTTCAATTCCTGAAAGACACTTACTCATGTACACTTGTACTCGTTGTACATGTTCTTGAATGCATGTTAAACAATTTAAAAATTTAATTCACACGGAAAAGTACAACAAATGTAAGAATTTCATCCAAATGTAAAATATCATAAATAAAAAACTTACCCTTTTAAAAGTAAAAAAAGGTCCTTGTTAAAAATTTAGTTTACTATTTTCTTATTCTATTTGCTTTTAATCAATGAAAACGAATATTTTAAAACACTATTCAGTTTATAATTAAAATAATTTAGGAAAAAATGCAGAAAATGCACTTTCATAAAGTGATTTTTGTTATTTCAGCTAATTTAAATGAAAACAATATCTAAGAATTATTTATACATTTATTAATATTGTATATTTCATATCTAGGTCAAGTCTTTATTAATAAATTCAAGAAAAGCCATAGAGTTTTATTTTAAAGCTTATTAATCTTTGGAAAGTCACAAAAAGAAAATAATCTGGGTTTTTTAAAATAATGCATAGTAAAAGAACTAACATTTTACTAAAAGCCTAAAATACATAAATATATATAAATATATATTTTTTTAAGTATTATATTTGTATATTTATATGTTAGCTATAGCTGGCCAAACGGCTGTAACGAATGGGCTGACATTTTTTGAGGGAACCCGAACCCCAAAGGTAACAAAAGCTAAATAATCGATATTTTTTCTTTCAAAATTCGATTAAAACAAATTTGACGGACAACGCTAGGCACTTGAGCTAGTTACGTATAAATACGCACTAAGTATGTATAAATACAACTGTTTAAAAGAAAAACAAAGTACTCTCTCCCCTCTCTACTCTCTATTCTATTCTATGCAAGAGTGGAAAATTTACAAACGTACATTAAGAAATTGTTAGAATTTGACCTAGATACGACCCAATACATTCTATTCAAGACAGTGCACATTAATGGCATTTTTTCTTTTAAGTTGACCTTCATGATTATTTTGAATTCTATCATGATTTCCTTGAAATTCTACTTGTTAGAGTAAGGTTGCCTGAATGACAGGGTTTGAAGGATGAGCTCCAGGTTGGGTTGCTGAGCTAGGACGGGTTGGGTTTACTCCAGGTTGGTTTGAGGACTGGTGACCAGGCGGAACTAATCTTCTCTCTTGCAACTTCCTAATAAGAAATCAGATACTGTTTAAAATATATATTCCAGGACTGTCGACTGTAACCTTCATTTTACTACAGTAACCTTTAATATTTATCTGTTTATCAATGGGGACGACAATGTTTTTTTCTTAAAGAGATAGATTCTGTTAATTTCATTCATTGTCTCTATTCCATAATTTCGCAGGCAACTTTAAAAATCACAGTTGACAAAATTTCAATTTTTATTTGGGAAAACAATGATATCTTCGTCATCTTTGCACATTCTAAGGTTTAAAGGTTAGTGTTAACGATAATCACACTTGTATGCGATTATATTAGCGCTAGATCCAATCAGGATTTAGTCATGTGTTTGGTGTCTATTTTGAACCAATAGAAATTGCATAGCGGTTACATCTATTTCTCATTATCCAATTAGAGATAAATCCTTATATCGTTTCTAAACAGGAAATGGAAATATTTACTTCTACTAAAACTACAGTGATAATATGCTATGGAATTCTTTTAAATGGAAGGTTAATTAGAATAACTTTGATCTTCCCTCTCACAAAGTTTTTAAACTAAGAAACAACGAACTAACAGCAAAGAGAATAGAATATAAGTGTAAAACGGCCATTTTGTTGTACTGTTTCCATACTGGAGGTGTACTTAACATATTTGAGCTTTATAACCTTTTGGGCCCTGGAACATCATTTTATAGAAAATCTAAAATTAATATTAAAAGAAAACCAAATTATGAAATATGCTGGTTTCATAATTGAACAATGATCATTTCACATAGACTCTTTGCCTTTCACTTTACAAACGATGATTTTCCGTTATAAATATAAATCAAATGATGTTTTTTATTCGCCTAATTCATTTTAACAGCTTTAAAAAATTCGAAATTGAAATGGATAATCTAGGGAACATACTGTATTAATGTACTCTACTGCATATAATTTGTGAACATTTGTACACTTTGAACTCCCTTTCAGACTGAAAGGGACTGACAAAATTCATACCGTAGGATTGTCTCAATTCCACTCTAATATATATTCTATTCTCTTTGACTAACGGTTTGAACATTATGAACAGTGTTTAACATCTAAACAAGAAATTAAGGATGAAATAATGCTGCAGCATGCGTATCAAACTCAATTTGTGCAAAATCCTGCGAAAAATGATTTACAAAGCAACTCTGCAGCAAAATCTATGAAGTTAGAAGATTTATATTTAAAAAAAAGATGTCGTTTTTTAGGGGAAGGAAGGAAAAGGAAAGTAGAAATTACAAAAATAAAAAGATGCAAAAGGGGGGGGGGTACATCATGTTGATCAAATTAATATTTTCAATTTTGTTAGTTTTAAGCTAATTTCATAAAGGAATTGAGTGTTTGTCACAAACCATGTCGTAGACTTTAGATATTTGAACCTAGAAATTATGTCAAATCAAAATATCTAAGTTTAAAATACCATCAGGTTGCATAGATATAGGAATTAGAAAATTTGAGTTGTGGAGAAGACTCAATTCCTTCGAATACTTCAGTTGGATTAAAAAATAGTATGTTAAAGCACTCTAAAACATTATTTTAGATTATTGGAATGTTTCTCTGAGAGTTTTTGAATATATTTACGTAAAATAATGGAATTATTTATTCTGATCTTTTATTATTGATACCTTGAGAAGATTGTATTAAAGTGCTAAAAATGAGGAAAATAGGAAAAATGTCAATATTAGAAATCCATTTTCCCTACCTTTGTTGTTTTTGCAACCATGTTTCTCTATCTTCTTCCGACCTACTCCGTTCATCCCTCATCCCATCCAACCCATCCTCCAGGTCATCCAACCCTCGTCTCATATTCTCATCCGCCTTAATTCCTTTCATCCCATTCATGTGTACACTAGCATTCAAACTTCGCTCAATCTTGAATTGAGAGCCACCATTTTGAGACATACCATTTCTAAATCCATTTGTCTGACCTAAAAATATAAACATTAGAAGATCTGCATCATCTTCTCTTTTTTGTCCAACAACTTTTTTTGGTATTTCGTTTACAATAACCCTGAGGCAGAGGCCCAAACGAGTTACGCGAAGTCGGCGTCGTAGAACAGACTCTCTCTCTGTAGAATTACAAGATTGAGGGAGAGCCTGTTCTACACCGACTACGCGTAACTACTTAGGCCTCTGTAACGAAATACTACTAAATCTTGAAAAGACGACATCTAGTGTCCTATCTGTAATTTTAATCAATCTATGACTGTTCGATTCAATTTCTGCCTTTAGAAACGGCAGAAATTTAGTTCTTTTTAAAATAGAAAAAGAGCACTACTCTTCTCATGGAAGTTCTAAAGGGTACCGTTGTGAATCAGATATGAAACTTTTTAAATGGAAGATCATTTGAAAGGAACTGAGTTTTAGCCACAAATTCTGATTTTTAAATCGCTATATCTTTGCAACCTGATGGTGCTAACCTGTGATATTTCAAACTATCATTATTTGATCTAAAATAATTCATAGTTTGAAATATCTAAGGTCTCCGACATTGAAATGCAAAGATATGGGGATAAGAAAATCAGAGTTTGTGACAAAAAC